ATCACATTATAATAACACGGGAACAGCCAATCTAAATAAATAACTATCTATATAGCATTACCAATGTGATATGCTTTAGAACGAGCAATTAATTTTAATGAACTACCGATGGAACAAAGAACGACGAAATCATAATATTAGATGCGTATATTTTCGCACTGTGCGAATATTATCGCACCACAATATTGCAGGTCGAAAACGAATGATCGATCATTATTATAATATTATTTTATAATTAATATGATTTAATATCGGATGTGTAATAATATTATTACTATCGCGTAATTCGTAACGATAAATAATAATATTAAAAACAACAAAGTCTTGTAAATAAAAAAAAAATCGTCTTCGAGACGAAAATATATCATATTAAGATACCTATAAATGGGTAGGCGAGCGCCTTATCGTCCAAATATTAACAGCAATATGTTTGGTGTCGCGAAGCCGCGTAATAATAACACTATAATATAGTAGTATCAATTATATTAATTATTCGTGTCACTATCGCCGTACAACAATGGTATTAGTATTTAGTATTATCATTATTTTTTACCTGCTACCTGTTGCTGCGGTCCGTCGGCGTACTGCGGCGGCGGTTATCCGGCGAGAAGTCGAACTTTCAAAAACACGCGGCGCACACGGCGTAGAGTATGTTTTTATTGTGCACGCGGACGACAGAGGAGCGTTGTACCTCACGACGACGAGCCGGTCAACGATCAACGATTATCGTTTTCGGAATACGCGATACTCGCACGGTCTCGCCAGATACTATATGCTGTTATAGGGATGCCCTTGACGCAAGTGTGTACCTGGTAAACGAGTAAAAAACCAAACATATAATACACAGGTAGGTACGCGTGCACACACACACACACACACACATATATAAATATAATGAATGTATACAGTATAGGTTATTGAAACGTCTCCGTCTCTCCCCGTGTACGTACACGTTTTGCTATAATTTTCGTTGTTTTTTTGTTCGGGGGAAGGGGAAATCATTATACATTATTACAGTCTCAGGTGGGTATTAAATACATACGGTCTTGTGACGTAGGCACGCGTTGAAATTAGCATAAAATCTAACGTGCCATTATATTATTATTATTATTATTATTGCTATTATTATTACAGATCGTACAAAATATCTTCTGTTAAGATAAACCACTATGTACGCAGCGTTATTACTATAAATACTATATAGGTACACGCATATACATATACTATGTACATGCATATTTTATTATTATATAGGTGCCTATGCTACCACATGATGTACATATACATACACGCTCGGTATACGCACCGAACTATATCATTATTACGTATTATATTGTTTCAGCGTCATCATCGCAGTCGAAGAAGACTTCTCGAAATGTCCTCAATAAGTCGACAGTGCCGGTGTGTACAAAATCATAGTACATGTAATACCTACCTACTGCTGTAATAATTGATTTTCGGTCAGTTACATGTTCTATTCCTTTGCATATTATATACCTACGAGAAAATATAATAATAATATAATATAATATATATATATATCATATTATTATACCCACTTATCGTTATGAAATCACATTCCTCGCTCGTGTAACGACTAATAACCCGCAGAACCGTATAAAAACAATATCGTTTTGATAATGCTCTGGACTAAAATATGACTAATACCTATATTGTATAATTATTATATACTTGTTATGAAATTTAAAAGTGAACTCAATATTGATTTCTACAGATAATTAGACATAATATTACTACCTACACGATTCTGCGTTATTTACCATAAACTGTATTTTTAGCGAGTGGGTAAAATACAAATGTGTATTTAAGTAACACTTCGGATACCAACTTTCAAAAGTTTCGAAGCGTTATTATTATTGATTAGACGTTTTTTTAATCTTTATATCTGCTTATTTGCTATAGCGATGTGTGTAGCCGTATTATAGGTATAGGTAGTTCCTATTATATATAAATATATAATACATTATAATATAAACACTGAACAGAATAAAAACAATAATATTATATTGTATTTAATTTTCTTATTAAAATTATCTGCATTTAAATCATTCCAACAATAACAATAATATTAAGTATTGATTGAATATAATAATATCATCGTTGTTACCATTAATATTATTATAATATGTTTTCTGTTATGATAAAAGTTATAACCGGTTATTTGTGTCAAGTTCGAAATTTGAAGACACCCCTTCATTACAAGGTTTCATTAAAGTGAGGACCCCGATCATCTCACGTAATCTGTTTTCAAATTGTACCGCAATAATATTGTTATTATACGAATACTGACATACTGCGTTCTGAGTTTGATGATAATAATAAGAAGCCGAAGAATAAATTTAGATAATATTGTAATATAGGACATCGACATTATACGACTTTAATCAATGACGAGTTTAGTAAATGGTCATTTTTCATTTAAGTCAAAACGCAGTTAGATGGGTAAATAAAATAATTATAAACAAACGTCCTAATGTACATAAATCATTTATTACTATAGCTACTTATATAGCCATAATATAAAACAGTGAATCTTTTCCCTTTCACTTGTATTTTATTTTGTCAACTATACGTTAATATAGAAATATGATTGTATATGACGTTATTCTACGTATTAAATTACAATTATAACAGTCGTATTATTAATACAATGATGGTCGGAACGAAACGTGTTTCTATACACAGCAGTATCATAGTTTCGAGATTCTGTCATTAAACAAAAATACATATTATATTCACGACCACGCCAAAATTATTGAGACCGTGACATTTTTTTTTTTAACGTTTATTATTAATTATGATTTTTTTAAAAAATATTTTCCGAATGGATTTTGAAAATACTCGAGGACGTCAACAACCGAGCTTCAAATGAACTCTTCGGCGAGTATAATAAAATTCCCTGTAAACGATGATGATGAATAAAACACACACGCACTACGGGTGTTATAAACATAATAAATAAAAAAAATGTAATACTGTACATAATGTAATATACCTACAAAACCTGATGTCAACGCGTGTCGGAACGACGGCAATGAGCGAGTCTGTCCTGGGTTTTTCAAGGGTAATCGTTACATTCCCCGTGCAGTTAGTCACGTGGTTCTGTTTGGCCATTAATAATAATAATACCTATACAGCGTATATATATTTATTATACATGTATATAAATAGTATAATCGGTTGGACTAGAGTATTTATACGAATACTCGTACCTATGTATAATATATACCAATTGACTACATGGAATATAATTATTTCGAAGCCAAACAATTAACAGCTGGTATACGATAATTACAGACTATAATACTATATCCCATAGACTCCGTATAATATTATTATTGTGTTTGCGCATTGATTTATTGAGTTTTCATCCGCAGCGCGCGATGAAGATTAATTATATTGTTCCGCATTTGAACTGCGGTTCAGGAAGTGTATAATATTAATATGAGTAGCCATAGGTTCTGGGAATTACTGCAGTTTAGAGTATGAATCATTGCGATAAAATATATTGGCCACTGCAACAGTATCGGAACATATTTTATTCCGTGCTACCTACCTTTGAATAATAATTTTTAGAAATACGTTTGCCCGGAGCAATATGATATTGTGCGCAACTTGAATAGATCGCAATAGGGAGACTTTAACGTACCGTTCAATATAATTATCATTCTTGTCTATCACTTTCTTGAGTATAAAATATATGGAACGATTAATAATTCTTTGCTTATACATATTATTACCATAATAATATTACTAGAATACTAAAACAAACAAGTCATATAAAAATATGTTCAGCTCAATTATCGTCTAGACGACCGTGGAAAATCTCTAAATCATTTTATTATACATCTATCATAGCGGTATAGATACATCATACAGACATGATTTTTTTTATGTATGAATAAAATCGAAATAATCAGGTAATAAACGCTTAGGTATAGTCGCGTATGAGAAACTTGACTATTCAAAAGCTCGGAAAACTCAATACAAGTGCCCGATACAACATCTCTCCATCTTTGAAAGTCAGCAATTATTATTATTATTATTATTATCATAGAAAAATAGCTCTTTAAAACGGAATTTATTTAATTTATAGTGTCTGGTGGTTATCAATTCCTGATTATCCACGTAAGTCGTAGACGCCTAAAGCGTATAAATGGTGTCGTGATCTCTTACAACAATAAACATAGGTATATACATAATAGAAAGTGCCATCAATGGATATAGCCTCTTTCATCATACTTTTCTGGGTTTTTTGCTGTCATCATTTTTTATTTACTTATCACATAATATATTATTATGCTCATTATGTCAATTTGTTATATAGACTGCATATAAATAAATACTAATATAACTCTACAAAAAAAATTATCCACTCAGTATCGCAGTGCATGAAATATGCTTTTGGAAAATTGAAATTTGTCAATCTAATGCTTTATTATATTATTTAATATACGTCACGATTACGTCCATAAAACGTTCCGTTTTTTTTTTGTGAAACATATTAATGCAGCTTTATATGTTTTTAAATTCGCTAAGATAAAATTATTTCTAATTTTTTTTCGAAATTAAGGACTTTCTAGTGTCTAATCATGTCTAGCCCAAATCTTTCGCTATTAAGAAATATTTCAATCATACGATTTAAAGTTGAAACATTGATGGCCATCTATTTGACCAATAATTACATTGCATAACATAATATTATCTGTAAAATATATACCAGCTATTAACCATATTACAGATATTGTTATATACCCACCGCCCTACCTACATACAAGTTTATTTCAGAATAAAAGTTTACTCAGAATCTGTGCATATTATAATTGAAACGATTGGAAATTTAAACAGAATTTAGATTTTAATCAGTTATTTTTTAATTTCACAACGTACAATATATACAATCTCTAATAAATAATTTAAAACACATCTATCTATATAGATATATTCCGTATAGATATTGTAATGAACATTTATTTAAGTTTAGTTCAGGGACATTTGCTGTTCTTGTGGGCTATAAACAATAATATGTGAGCGTTTTAAACACGTTGTTATTGTAAACATTATTGTCTTAAGACGATTAAAATCAAATTAAAAAAATAAAATATTTTAATTAATTCATACAGTCTGATAGCCATCATATGTATAATAGGCATATAACTTACTAACTGTGCTTTTATATAGATAAGTCGTCTTACACTAGTACCTGTCATCAGGACCTTTGATAGGACGATATCCTGTCGTTAGCAAAAATAAAAAAATTTTAATCCTAGAGAATTTCTTTGTAATTTAACAATTTGTTAGATCCCGCTGTGAACATAATCTCTATAAATTATTATACAACAATAGTTTTAAATAATAATTGAAAAAACTTAAAACGTCAGTTAATAGTTTTAAGTATTGAAATACGAAAACCATTTCTGATGAAACATCCGAGGGGGTCGGTGAAATTTATTAGGGGGTTGGTGAGTGGAGCGTTCAGAGGGTAAAGCCCCCATTTCATATAGGTACCTATCTGAATATTTATTAAAACGGAATTTTGCTTTTTATTAGGCCAGCTGGATAATATGAAACATGGTTTCTCGTACCAGTCGAACTGAGACTTTTATCGGTCCCTCGAGATTGCACCATTTTCACTATAGACGAAATAATATTACGAAGATGAACTGAAACTACTCGTATAATAGACGCAATAGTTTTCATTGATATTACTTGTGTCTTGTCCGATACCATGGTTGTAATAAAGTTTGCGTTTCAGTGCGTTCCAATTATTCGGTATAATGTCTACTGGCCTTTTAAGAAACCTCTAGGGGCTCTTAAAGACGCTTTGTAACACCGGTAGACGAAAGGTGGCCTTTATAATAATTATTTACCGAAAGTTACGGGTATTGCTTTATTGTTGTATTTAGCATTTAGACAACTTACTACACATGACGTTAAAGATAGAATACGTGTGTTTTTAATTCAGCCACACTTACGCAAAACTCAACGGATCATCGTCGAATTCAAGCTTGCAGCCTTTGAAAGAAAAATACGTTACGAAAACTTTGGGGATAATGCAAGTCCGTAAAACCTGCCTAAAATAGTACTCGTATGGTTTTTCGTAATTTATAGTATTTGATTTCCTCCATGTAGAACAACGGCGGTTGGGTTTTTCTCGCGTCTAAAATCTAAATAATAATATTATGCTTTGCGCATTCTCGTAGCTCAATGGACGACGCGGTATATTATTTTTAATACATACATACCTACATCTCGCATAATACTAATTACTTAAATATATCGATAAACATCGATAATACGTATATATCTACTACGCGTACTTTGTAAAAAATAATATAATAATATATTACAATGTATTAATGTGGTCTGCCGGTTTACCAATAATAACCTATTCGTCGTCGGCGGGAAAGGAATGAAAAGGAGTAAAAAAAAACCCGAAGACCCGGATTGTCCAAACACGTAGGTAGGTAGGTAGACTTGTGCACGGGTCGCCGCCGCCGGTAATAATATATACTGGTAACACGGTAAATACCAGCCTACACCGTCGTACTACACTCGTACTCTGTAAATACAGACGACTACACACGTAAATTGGCACCACGTCACATAATATTATACGTTACGCACCTACATGATAGAGGAAATGCCGTTTGAATAAATTAATATATCGTCGTCTTCGCGGCAAACTTAAGAAATCGTACATTAATTATCAGCGCGTGCGTTTAACGTGGTATAAAATGTTATTTTCCCCCGCCGCGGTAATACAATATTATTATTTATTACTGTGTTATGCTCGTATGGACATAATATTTGGCCGAAAATATTAATAATAATGATGTACAACTTCGAAGGTTATTGCGCTCAATTAACTGGATACCTACGTGATTCGCGATCGGTCGACCAACGATGATCCGCGAACATCTATGTATTTAGGGTATACTCGTCAAGATAATAATAATAATAATAATATGGAATATAATTTAATATTAAAAAAAAAAAACAATAACGGTATTGACGGATATAATGGTAATAACATATTATTGCACCACAAAAACAATTCCATTGAGCGCCTATATTATAATAATGTTATATAATAACAGCACAGCACAAGGTGATCCATTGAAGTGTCTACATTCATTATTTAAAATATTTTTGGAAATATTCTTTAAGTTTAAATAATAAGTGGAATAGAGTGGCACAAGGGTATGTATAATATCCCCCAAAATGTTGGTCGATTACTCCGCCCATCTTACTTCAGCAGTCTTCAAGTACTTATAACCAATTATTATTAACTACTCGTTCAAAATTCCATTTGTATATATCTCAAAGTACTCCGAAAATATTCTGATTCAACTCGTCGTGAAATGTGTCGTCATTGAAAAGAGTAAAAACTTAATAAATTATAACGATAGACAATTATTGTTGTAAAAATTATAATTTTTTTTTTTTAAATGTTGTTTTATATGGACATGGAATCACTCAGAAATAATATTTTGCAAAAAGTTAAGACTTTTTGAAGTAAGGCACTTAATTGGGTAATATGGATCACCTTGTATAGTCCTAAATATAATATCTATAAGAATCTCGTTATGTATAATAAAAATTCTGCGTCCTCGACCACCGCTGAAAAAATTTTGCTCATTACTTTTCATCATATTTATAATGATAAATGGATAGGCTACAATCCTGACAAATCGGTTGGGCAAAACAAAAAATTAAATCAAACAAAATAAAACCCACTATCCTCCACTTCAGGCCCAACAACCTTTCGGATGGAATAAAGGAAACGATTACCAACATATTATATAATAGGGTAGGTCAACGAGTACGAGACCGATCCAAACACGTACACTGGTACTGAGTACTTACAGAATTTGACACCTATACCGGGAATCAAGTAAAAAGCAATAAATACAAAATATCTGACAACATATAATTATTTCAAACCCAATATCGAATCCGAACTTTCAATATTGACAACTTATTCTTTTTCTTCCAAGAACCGGAACTGGTTAAAGTCATTTAATATAAACTATATTTTATATCACCGCGTCGGTTTGGCCAACTCGGTTATCCGTTGATTGTCCTTTGATATTTTCTCGATATTGGGGCGGCCCATAGTCAAATGTTTAAATGTACATTTATTTCACTTATGAGTCTCGAGTATGTATAGCATTCAAATATGTTCTTCCGTGCATTCGATAATTAAGTGTGAATGAGTTTCAAAACTAAACTTCTTTATTAATCCTTATTACACCATTCAACTCATAAAGTAGAAGATGAAGTTATTAATGTGTTAGGATCTTACAGAGATAATTCTAAAAAACTGCTATTATTTTTAATCATAATTTATTTTTTAATTCAATTGATGTTAGGCACCAATTTACATTTATTACATTTTTTTCTTTATTTGATGTGTAAAAAATAAAAATAAAAGTATGAAAACATTGTTGATTATACTTTTGATGTTTATAATAAGAACTAATTAATTTTAAAGTAATAAATTATTTTATTGCGATGTACTAAAACGCAATTAAATTTTTTTAAAATCTGTTTGGGTCTTAGGGCCCAATCACTAGCGTGGCCGACACTTAATGTAATGTAAGCATAAGAGTTGCCTAAAAATTTCACAATAATAAAGAAAAATTTCATCAGCTTCATAAAAAGGTAAACATATCAAAACAAATGTGACTTACCCCCTCCAAAAAATTGAATTATTTATATTACCTATGATTAAGATAACCAATATCAATACTCAATGCTAATATATTTAAATGATTATAATATATAGGTCGATATTATTATAATACGTTACATAACAACAATATTGTGTGCGCGCACCAGCGTGATTGGCTCGACAATAATATTATTATACTAATTCATAACAATTAATAAAAGTTTGTTGAATTTGTAAACAGTCGCGTAAACAGCAGATTATGGTAGGTATTATATTCGTCGCGTATAACAATACCAGTTATTATTATTAATATTTGCCTCATGAGATTCATTATATAACACGATAAATAGTTATAATAATAATAATAATAATAATTCAACGATCGTGCGGTACATCATCATCGCGTTACATGACGTGCCGCCCCGCCCGCCCTCGCCGCTGAAGACTCTCGTCACTGTCTGCTAGCCGCGGTGGTGCGACGACGTCACGGCGATGACGGCGTTCGGTAACGCCGCCGCCGCCGCCGCCGACGACGACGACGGCCGATTACTACAAATCTCGTACGTCACCGTGTTGGACGGCGGCGCGTTCGGCACCGTTTACCGGGCAGTGTTGTCGGGAGGCGGCGGGACGGCGCGAACGGTGGCCGTCAAGCGCATTCGGTCGCCGGGCGGCGGCCGTCACGAACTGGACGCGCACAGACGGCTCCGGCACCCGAACGTCGTCAGATTGCTGTTCCACTTTTATTCCGGTAACGCAAAACAGTTTATAGGTACCGTCGGCATGTGCGCGAGCGCGTCGTTTTATTACGCGCCGCCGTGTAGGCATAACAATTAGGCGAAAATAGGCCAATTTTTTCGAGACGGACCTGAGAAACAACGAAGATTTGTAAAAACACGGTGCCTAGTTGAGCACCCTCTCCCCAAATTATATTTAGTCATTGACGTACAAACACAAATAACATTATTTTCATAATAATTTATACCTATTATTAAATATATTTTATTTTACACCTACTCACTTATGTCACCTATACCTACCTAATAGGTCTGTTCGTATATTTTACTCTCGCCCCGCATTTTCTGCGGAAAAAATAACAATTTTAACAGTTCATATTTAATATATACTGTAGGTTACCATTCCACCACAAAAATAAAATTTTAAATTATCTTTCATTTTTTCAATAATACTTATCGGGTTTGATTTAAAAATTGTAGAAAATAATAATATTTTCTTTCTCACTTGGTATTCAAATGATAAGCATTCGATTTGAGAAAATTTAGTGGAATTTTGGTGGGTCTATACCAAAACGTGTAACAATAAATTGGCCTCCAACCCCCCAAAAAACTCCTAAAGCTCCCTCAATTATTTCTTAACTTGACCTCGTCAGTGTAATAAATAAAGTAACAAAGTATGTTAGTTGATATTTCTAGCCCCTCCCCCAGTATTTACGCCTACAAATATCACCTATTGTTATAACTTATACACGGACTGCGTATAGGTACACACTCCAAACTTAATCATATATAGGCCTATGAATTTTTGGCAAAGTTTGTTTTTCAACAGAAAGTTTAAACTTTAAATCATGTGACTACAATTAATGACTAATTAAAACTTTTTCGACATATTTGATTATATTTATAGGTCAATTTTTTGTTTTTTTTTTACTGCATTTCAAACTGCGTTTTTAAGAATTTCATATTCATCTTTTAAGGTCTTATTATAATTTATAGTGTATTTATTTTACGGCTCTACTCATGGGTAACGTGTGCATCCTAAAGGAGTTTTTATTCAAAAACGATTCCGTTAAGCCTCAAGGTCAGGGGGAAATGTATTAAACAATAAACTTTATGAACATCTTGTCAGATTTTTATTTACGAATAAACAACCATAACGTCTAATATTATTATCTATCTATTAGCGACCTTATCGGACCGACGCCTATAGATTAGTATATAAATAATTAAATAACATATAAAAAACATATATTACATATATTTTTATACCTATATACATTATACATCTCCACGATAAAAATTTTAAATCGGCCAATAACAATACATATATATGCTTTTTTCATATAAAATATAGCTGTTATAAATATTTTAAATTATCGCTAATTATTGGTAATGCAATAGGTACACAGATGACAACAATAATGTAATATTGTTAAGTAATAGCCTAACGCGAGATTGTCGTATATTCGATTTGGTGCGTTCAACTCGCCCGCAGCTTTTGCTCACGTTTATTGGCCGTATATCCGTTCACCGATTTACATAAAAAATGACGGGAACCGATTTTAAGCGAATCATTTTCTCGACGAGTTATATTAAAGGAGAAGAAGCTGGGGGCTGTAGGAGCAATCGGTTGTCAGTGTCCTGCACGCAATGTCGCAATATTTAAAAACATATATAAACGATGAGAGTATATGAGACCGACGGCCAAATGTCTCGACGGGGAAATTATAGACCTTCACGTCAACCAAAATGCCACAACACTAAAAATACAAAAGAGGTTTTTATTTTTATTCTCGTACTTAATACGAGCAGGCGACAAAAACCCTTTTTTTTCGAAATTACGAAAAATGTCGGAACTCTAAAATATAATAATTGTGAACAAATATATAACGTACAACTGGCATATAAATATAATTTAAAATGGTGGGGGGACTTCCACGGGTCTGTTGTCTCGTTGTGCACCCCCAAAAATATTGGTCAATAATCGCGTCCATTATGGCATTATGGAAGATCACCATAAAGTTATGAAACAACGAGACGACATTTATTATGTTACATTAACAGATTTCTGCATGATGTGACCTATCATTATAATGTATGGACATGTTATATCAGCGAAATATTATAACAAACTTATGAATAATGTATACGACGACTCGCAGATGCTTTGCATACTATTTTCATACTTGTCGACGATTTGAAAGCTCTGTCATCTTATCGAAAAACTATTATGATGAGTGACTGCTTCAGTGCACTCCTCTACGACAGTTGATACTCGCTCAGAAAGTCGAAATTCGGAAACTTAAGTCGACTGCAGTGTGGACGTGTCGTGTGATATGATCAAACAAATGACTGAGTATAATGTCACAAGTATAGTGAGTGTTGTGTCGCCGGTCAGAAGCTGTTAATAATAATAAAAACTAAATAGATCCGTCGAGCACTGTAATTTGTAATATACGAGGTGTAACAGATAGATATGACAAAAAAAAAAAAATGATGCTACCTTAACGTAGTACAATTTTTTTTAACGTTTATGAGTAGTAAATAATTTAAAAAATATACTCATGACAGCAAATTTCCTAAAATTATATTTTGAAAAAAGTTATTAAATTCCAAATGAATTTAATCAAAAATAAAAATTATATTTTAAAAAAACATTCTAAAAAATTAACTACTCGACTTAGATAAATGTTTTTACCAATAAAATTGTTCTTATAATCAGATTTACAAATTGTCTAATTTGAACTGATTCAAAAAAAATTAGTTAAATTTTAAATTTTTTATATTCAGTATTAAAAAAAAATTTTTTTTTATAAAACATGTAGTGCAAGTGACTATTAACTAAATATAAAAAAAAATATTCAAAACATTGATTGTAACAAAAGTTATTGCATTAGTCAGTTCTTTTTGCTATACTCTGTATATTATAATTTCCCTTTTTTACTTATATTTTATATTGCCAAAAAGGTTAGACTAAAATAGTGAGAAATGTAGTATAATATATTGTCCCAATGAAGATTTTTTTTAAATTTATTTTTATTTTAGTGGTATTTTGGTATTGTTGGTCGGTTGTCCTGTAGCCATTAGCCAGACCCATTATAATATCATACTACGCATCATAGACACGGTATTTAATTATGAATACTCTGCATTACCTATATATAAAGCACGTATCTTTAGTGTGTTTGCGAAATGATCTATAAAAATATCCAAACTAAGATCGGTATGTGTTGTGTTGTAATATTGAAATTAATTGTGTGTATAGGTTGTAATATATAATATCACATTTTCCTTGACTTTGAAAATACCTACTAAATAATATCATGTTTGAGTTGTGTAACATTGTTATAATAATTGTATGATTCACCAAATACGGACCGAGATCATGACACTGAATGTTTGCAAAGGAATTTATGTAATTTTAAAACTAGCTTAAAAACTGTTAAAACGTGTACGGGTAATAATTACGTGTAGCGAAATGCGTACTATAACCTTAAATGGAATGACTGTATGTTAAGTATTAACCCAATTACGACTAATCCAAAAAAAAAAAAAAAAAACAGCGCGCACGAAGTGTATACCTATTACAATATAATACGTAACCTAACCTAGAGCAGGATCGATGAACGAAAATCGAAGTACAAATGTTTTAATAAATATTCGTATCCTCAAGGCGTGTTGACTCCGGATTACTAAATTTATGCATCGAATTTCGCGCTAAGAAGAAGAATTATAAAATATTATAAAATAAATATAATAATGATTATAATATATTATAAAATATTAGTCAGTTATTTTTATAACATCACAAAAAATCACGATACAAAATGTTCCAAATTTTTATAAATCATATTATAATACTCCAATATTATAATAATATGATGCTTTAAAAATGCACTAAATGACATTGAAAATCAATCATTATTCTTCTAAAACTAAAATTTGCTACGCGTTATCCGTCGGGTAAAACGGATGAGCAACCCACACGCGACGCGTCCGAGATTTTCGAGAAGAACTCATTCGATACGCATCGATAAGGCGAGTAGTTCTGTATATATACCTATTAGTCGCGTCGAAATCAGAGTCCGACAAGAGACAGAACGTTTCGTCGCGTATACTACACGTGTAATTGTATGTATTCTCGAACTCTCAATATCGGACCGATACGTATCGATGCGCGCCGATTTCCTTCCCGAAAATCTCGACAACGGCGCCACGGCGTGTATACAGTATTACGTGTGCGGTGCAGGATGGAACGGCGCCGACGAAGACGGTAGCGCCGGTCGGCTGAACTTGGTAATGGAATTGGCGCCGACCAACTTGAACCACGCGATCCGGCGACTGGCCGCGGACGGCCGGACAGCGAGCGTGGGCCACTGCAAGCTGTACGCGTACCAGATGTTCAGGGGCTTGGGGTACGTGCACGAGACGGCGGGGTTGTGCCACCGGGACGTGAAGCCCAACAACCTGTTGCTGTACCCGTCCACTGGCGTGCTCAAGCTGTGCGACTTCGGTAGCGCCAAGGACCTGTTGGACGGCCGGCCGAACACCCGGTACGCCTGTTCCCGCCGCTACCGGGCGCCCGAGCTGCTGTTCGACCAACCGCCCGACGCGCCCGATTATACCGCCGCGGTGGACGTGTGGAGCGCCGGTTGCGTGTACGCCGAACTCATGGCGGGCGCTCCCCTGTTCCCGGGCACGAGCGTACCGCACCAGCGAGAGTTGGTCGCAAGCCCACCGGTGTTCCCGGGATGGGCCCCGGCCGACGCTGTCCGGCTGGTGGCGGCCACACTCCGTTTCGACCCGGCCGCCAGGCCCACCGCGTTGGAAGCGTGCGACCACGAGTGCTTCGACGTGCTCAGGCGACCGGGCGGCCACCGCCTGCCGCCGCTGTTCGACGACTATGACGACCACTACGGTGCCGATGACAACGACAATGACGACGACAATGACAACGACAATGACGACGACAATGACAACGACAATGACAACGACGATGACTACGGATACGCACGGGTCTGAGGATATCGCTGGGACGACAACGCGCGTGGATTATGGATACGCCTGATTTATATTAAAAATATTTTTATCATCACTTTAGTTTTGAATAATATTTTATTTTATTTTTTCGTCAATAACAAACGAAGTTTAAGTTCAACTTGCAGTGGCTGCAGGGCCCCTACTAAAATTTACCAAGTTAAATAACATTTAATATGTGTCGCTGTAATTTATTTTTTCAACAAGTTTCTTTAAAATATCTTTATAGTCTAGACAGACTTGGATTAACATTTTTTTGTTTTTTTTTTCAAGCATTTAAACTGAAAAGAAATTATACTCTAAACAACAAAAACACAAAATTCCTAGTTTGGCGGTGGCGGGTGACTGTCCCCGTCCATTATTTAAGAAAATATTATATAATTAGTAATTACTATTATAGTATCAAATATCATCAATGGCTTATCGTGCAGACACTGGGTGGCCCTAGAGCCTATAGGAATCGGAGGTCTACTTTAACACAACAATTTAATTATAAAATGTGACTCTAAAAAAGCTAATTAAAAAAACTTAAAATTACTGCTCATACATTTAATTAAAACAGACTTGTGTACTTAAGAAGATGGCCAAGTACAGCTCTGAAACATTAGGTGTCGTGTAGGTCACGGTAATGAATTTATTTTTTATTGACATTTATAAAGAAAAATTTAAAATTAGTTGAAAATTTTAAATATCTATAAATAGCTCAAAATCAAGAATCGAAATATTTTGAAAATGTTACCATTCACTGAAAATGTGGCGAGATTTCGTCAAAAGTTGTTTCGCATAAAAATTCCCATTTTTTTCTGGATTTTTGTTTTTGTTGTTCCCAATGATCAAGGGAAGTACTAGGAATTTTCGACTTCGATCTTCCCAAAGTATCAACTATAGATCCAACATCCTATCAGTAGCCACCTTCAAAGTGTCGAAGTTCGAACAATTTTTCTACCGCTTTTCGTGTGTACAGACACAAAGAAAAATTAAAAATTAAATACACACCTCATCGCTACGCTCAGAATCCAAAATGATCACGATAAAAAAACTGTTGCGCCCCCTCAACTCGGGTGCACCTGGGGGGCCCGGCCTAAGTACACCACTGAAGGTCATCATAATATATTATATTGTTATACTTCAGCGCGTGCGGTGGACACATAATAAAATACGCGTATAACATAAATATATTATTATTGACTTACCTCAATAATTGAGTGCGATACACGGTGGTGATGCGAGTATTAAATATAGTGTTCGTTCTGCGTGGACGTGTGTGTGCAGCAAACTAAACGTTTCAAACCGATGTCGGCGAATAAACGGCGTGGAAATGTGCGAAAAGGGCCTATATATATGCATGCCCGTGTACGCGGTCGGACATGACGTCAACAAGGCATTTTTCGGAGCTATACCGCGGTTATTATCGCAAAATATTATTTAATTATATTATTGAATGCTGCAGGTGCTATTAGCATCGGATCACATTCTTATTATAATCATTACATTATATTATTGTGTTGGCATTGATTGCAATACACTGCTATAAATATTTTCCAACACAATAATTCGGCGGTCGATATGATAATACTTTTAAGCCGTACCCAGATACCTATATTATACTATATTATTGCTGTCTGCTTTTGACCGGATCGATGACGCTTTAATTCGACTCCGCCGCCGAGATATCGCAGAACAAATGCGTCACAAGCGACGACGTCGAGGTCCTCTACATAATATTGTGTATTATTATTATTATTGAACCGAGTGTAATAACTAATAACTACTAACTAATAGCACCGACAATAATCATTACTGTTGGCCGGATATTGTGCATGATATATTATATTATTATTATAAAACGTCGTATGTATGTATGTGCACTATAAATATGGGTAACTGCGCGTCCAAGGGCGATCTCCCGCAGGTGTACCGGAGAACACTCTCTTGACAATAAAACAATAATTCTTAACACTTTTGAGTGATTAATAATGCGTTTAATTTCCGTTTTCAAAACAAAACATACTATTACAATGCTAGTATAAATTTGCCCGTGGTTTCCTATAACATTAAAAAATATGATATCAATACGTTCGACTGCGGTAGATAGGATACATAATATTTGTATATTTTTTTTTTATATACCTTTTATTATTTATTTAGCTCAAAAATTACATTAAATCAACAGATATTAACAAAATATTTGCACGAATATGATAATATGATAATACCGTCATATTACACTATTAATGTTTAAATAGAAAAAAAAAGAAATTAATCAGTTTATTGCTCGATGAACACCGTCTTAATAAGTAGATTATAATTACACTTAAATATTCTTTAGTAGTCTAGTCCCAGGTGGTAGGTCGGTAGGTGGTACAGGTGGTATAGGTTAGGTAAATGGAATTTCAGATTTCTAAATGTTCTTTGATCGTTTTCTTTACTGCAACTCGATTATTTTAGAACCTACTTCACTTTCTAATTACAGCTATAAGTATTTATTTTAAATCGTTTAAGTCAAAAAATCATCTGAAACAATATTCTAGTTATTATATTATTATATTTAATTTTAAAAGTATAAAATAATTTTAGTAGCTTACTAAATAATTGTTATTTATTATACATCGTTCACCGTTATGATTACATTATTTTATATTCTATTATGTTTAACATATTGATTAAATTGTTTAGCAGTTTTATACTATTCGGTATCACGATGTTATATGATGTAATTAAAAATGTTGAATGATTGATTGAATATTTGAAAATATAACATCAGTTATCTCTTACTGACATACATTACTACATATTAGACAAATAATTTAATAATTAATTAGATTGGCTAATACGGAAAATAGGTACTCGGCACTCGCTAAAAAAAATACCAGTGAGTAATTAAATCAATAGATAATATTGTGTAGGTATACCTCTTAATAATGATTTAAATGCACTAATGAGCATCTTAACTCTGATATGACATTATAATATACGCGTATTACGGCTAGACGTACGTTACGCTTCTAAATTACAAAACTTGAACTGATAACAATGAGATATAATAATTTTTCATACGAAAAATATATTATAATATTGTGTATTTGTTGTGATATTTACGACTTCTTTTTTATGAAATATTTTTTAAATGATAATATAATAATATAATATTGTGTTCAAGATCATAATATTAGTACAGGCGACGTGGTTATTGATTAATAAACAATAATTCCTTTAAAATATTCTATTCTATTGCTATTCTATTGGGTAGATTTAGATTAAAGTCCATATTGTAAATACCTTAATATTGATGATCTATATTTAGATGGTATCGATTTATGCGTATAATAATATATGTTATATTGCTCAGAGAGAAATGTATTCGTACTTATTGCTTTATTATCAGTTATAATGTGGTATAATAAAAAAGTAAGCACGAGATACACAATACACAACTCGTCATTAAAAAATTTGCCGCTTATCAAACTCTATAATTAGACGCCGTGTAGAGGCAGTCGTCTCCCATTATTGGTTAAAACAAAAAAAGAAATAAGATCTGATTACCAATTAACGAATATCGCGGAGAATCACTTAATACATACAATACGATAGACGTGACGTGTATCTCTACGGCTCGGCGTTCTCGTATTATTATATTACGTATTATGATCTTTTGTCGTGGAGATTTTTTTTCTCAGATTAAATAACTATTATTATTCGATTCAAGGTCGACGTCTTCCAACGGCGGTTATTTTCAAATCATAAGTTATGTCCGTTCTTTTGCAGCTAATTTCTCAATGCTAATATTATATATTATGCGTTGAACACACACACCGGACCTTGTGTACGTCATCGCAGTATTATTATGTTATCGGTCCTCGTAATATATTTCAAACATCGCATGGCTAATAATAATAATAACATAATCGTTCCAATATTACACATTTTTTCTCGTAGATGGGTCTCTTTGACGACAGATCAATAGCATATTATTACTGTTGTCGTCATCTCGAATGTCTGTGCGAATCTATTTTTATCTGGCGTATTATAGGCGTCACAATAATAATAATAATAGTAATATTAATATGTAAATATCGTAATAATATTGTTATTGTGATCGTAAACCTTATACTCATAACGACTCTATAGGGCCATCGTCGGAGTAAAACACGCGCACAGAGTTCGGCGGCAACGATTTATTCCGGTTTTTGGTTCACGGTTGCTGAACATTGAGGACAGTACCTACATTGCGTATCAAAAGTAATAACAGCGATGGTAAAGAGAAAAAATATGTGCATAATGTATTATAATAAATAAAATAGACACAAGGCTGTGTACTTCTATCTGATGACCCTACCTAACGTAACTTTAATAAATAAATGATAATAATAATAATAATAATATAAAAAAAAAAAATTAAAAAAACTTTAAAAAAACATATACATTATATTATTATACGTGTCTACAATGGAGCACACAAGGTTCGCGTTTAATTGTTGCGTTTCTTTTTTCGTAAAATTAGGTTAATAAATTGTACTTAAACATCCGTTTTTGCATAGACAAAGTGATGTTTGGTAGTTATATAAATGTGGGTAACTACGTTGTGGCTACCTACACGAGTAGGATATCACATTTCAAATGCTTTCCAATGTAAATGTCACCATACATGACGTGTGCGATTTACAAATTACCCTACGTTAATAATAATAATAATAACAATAATATATTATTATGTATGTTTTATTCGAACATGATTGTTTGGTACGAATAAATATTAAGGTCAAATTAGATAAAATCGTATATTATGGAAATTCTCGAGTGATGCTAAAATCTCTGTTGTATTATATTATTTGCATTTTAACATATTTTCATAAAAGCATGAGTATACATATATCAATATAATTATATTATTAAGTTACTGTTGTGTGAAAAAAACAGGCAGTCGTTCGGTAGGTACTTACAAAATCCGTTATTAGAAAACCGACATAAGAGTTTCTTGACTCGGTTAATTAGGTAAATCAAGAATATTAATATTATTATACTATCGGCTCCATAACAACCTGTTGATGTAAAATATCAAAGTACGTGCGATATACCATTTAAATTTAAATCAACGTTTCCAATTATAATAATAATAACAGCGTATACAAATAATATATTATACTGTACCTACCTACATTATAGTATTATTATTACTGGCGGTAGGTAGTCCGTAAGGTTTTATGTATTTATCCGTCCAATCTAAGTTCATTATATACTAAAGCGATATGTACGCGCAATATGATACGTGCAGCGTATACAAAATTCGTTTCGAAAACCAGTGCAAGACATATATGTGATTTTCCGTGAGTTTTCGGCAATTGATATATTATTACGTATTATTAATTATAATTTTTTTTATCATTGTTTCAATTTGCCACCAATAGACTAATTGTTCTGCAAACGGTTCATAAAAAGTAAAGTTCAAACTTTTAATTGCCCATCCGTGAAGGTTTCTAATTAAATTTAATATCTCCACACTTGTGTACGAAGCGGAAAAATCGTGATATGAAGTAGCATAATATTATATTATTTATTATACCAGGTAGTATCGCTAATTAACGCCCGATGTTATCAAATCGACTCCGGATGCCCCGATAACACGAGCTTGTACAAAAATGTAATTATGTACATTTATATGTAATAATATACATTTATAGTGAACTGCACACATTTTTTTTCTTCTTAAATAGTTAATTATATTAGCTAAGGTTAAGTAAGTATTGTAAAACAATATAGTGTATTTGATCGCGACTTAATACTTCACACTTTAGAATACCTAATTGTAAATTTATATTTATTGCATCAAGATAAATAATCAATCAAGTATTTTTTTAATAATTTAACCTTCCGTTATCTCCTTTATCTTTAATTTTATCGTAAACACTTGATTCTCCATATGAACTGTCTACACTATAATACAATTATTGTTCTCTAGCTTTTGTTAATGTTAGTTAAATTGTGGGAAGCT